TTAACAAAATGGAGTGCTACTCAGCCAAAAAGAACAAGAAATTAGTGACATTTATAGCTAAGTAAATGCACATTGAGGCCATACTCTTGAGTGAAATAAACAGGACACACATGTGTAAATACCAAATAGTTTCACTGGTGTGAAAAACTAAAAGTGTAAATAAGGATCAAAATGTGTAATTGACATTGTGAAATAGGAAGAAAAGGTCTAAAACAATAGAGGAAGTGGGAGGAGTAGGGGAAAGGAAAGAAGGGAAAAGAAAGAGAACAGGAAAAAAATGAAAACAAATTATTTGTAAGTAGGGAAGGTTGGAGGGGGTGAAGGGAGTGCCAGGGAAAGGGGAAAAATAAGAACCAAGATACATCATGTAAAAGTGCAAGATCCCAATGATGAATGTAACTGTATTGTATACCTAAAATATACCAATAAATATACTTAGTAAAAGAATGAATAGGGAGTTCAGGCCCAGATATTATTTGCAATTATTTAATACTTTTAAAATAAGAACAATAAAGTATCTGTGAACATGAAGAGAGTATGTTATTGTGGGGACTGAGTGTGAAACTATGCCACCCTCATAAGTACAGATACAATTTAATTATGGATAGATCTGCTAAGATTAGAATTGTATTTCCATTAATTATATGATCTAAGGTTCACTTCTGAACATTTGGCCTCCTTTAATACTTACAGTTTTGATGAAGACTGCCAGAAAGTTCAACATTGCAATACTTTCATCTGCTCCTTTCATCTTGTTAAAATACAAATATCTTCAAAGAACTTTATAATCATGTTTAACTCCACATTATTTTGAGAACATGGAATTAACTAAAAGTGGTAAAAAATGAGGATAAATCAAATGGAACTTAATGTCTTAATATTTGGAGAAAAAAGGATAATATAGATAAATATAGAAAACATAGATCATAGCATTATGTACAATTTTAAATAAGGCTTAATTCCTCCCAGCTCTGGACCTCAACAAAAGATGAGGTACTCTAGGGAAAATACAATCATCAAATATTTTTTTCAGTTCCTTTCCTTTCCTCTTTTCTACATTCTAATGCTAAAATTCTGAGTTCAGACTGACATTCATAATCAACTTCCCATCTTTTGAATTAGCCCACTTTCAGTTACTGAACTACTTGAGTTGGAATATTATTTTTAATTAAAAAAGCTTGATTCTCTTCTTTAGTTCTTTTCTCTGAGAGAATTCAAAACATGTTAAAGCATATACTTCAGAATTTTTCAAATAATCAAATGATCTGGCTTGTTTTGCACTAAGTATTAACCATGTATAGATATTTATTATTAATATTCTCCTGATTTAATATGACACAAATCAAAGTTGGTAAGCTCTTCATACATATCGATCAAATGACATCTATTATTTTGGCATCAAGTGTATATGTATCTACTGGGTTTTGAGATGAGATTTTTTTTTCTGTTTTAGAACTTCTGAATAGAAAGAAATACCATGAGCTTAGAAGAAGGCTTTTAAATTGTTAGTATAGCCTTACATGTCGTGATATCATCAAAAAAGTGATAAGTTTAGTTTCTCTAAGACTTTCAGTTTGTGGAGCTGGAAAAATATATCACAGGACCAGAAAATAAAAAGGTATAAGATTATTTATTTGTCACTAGAAAGCAAATTTCAAGTATAATAATTAAAATATATTAACATCTTTTCTGACTTATAAGAAGAAATCAATTATATATTCTGAGAAAAAATAATTTCTTAGCAAGAATTGACTTTCAGTTTAGATTATGCAATGCTATCTCATGGTTTTTCATATTGAATTTTGTACTTTTGATTAAGTTTCAGCTATATTTTATGATAAATTATACATAGCATAGTTAATGAAAAAATAGAAACTATAATTACTATACTAATAGGAAAATACCAAAACTAATTATATCAGGTAGACAAATATCAATATTTCAGGTAATCAGTCATCAAAACAAACCAACCTATTCTCCTCACCCTTTTTATGCAGAATTTTAATGATATGCTCTTAGTATTTGAGGTTAATGTTTGAACCAGAGATATAAAGACTTTTTTACAAGGTTTTGTTTTTCCAAATTATATTGGAAAATATTTTCTACTCTTTTCTTTAATGTCTTTATTCATTTATTTACTACAGTACTGGGGATTGAACCCAGGCCTCTCTGGTTAAGCTACCTTCTTGCAGCCTTTTATTTTTTTATATTGCTACAGGATTTTGCTGAGTTGCCCAGGCCAAGCTCAAATTTATAATCTAGGTTCAGCTTCTTCTCAGAGTACTGAAATTACAAGTCTATGCCATCATATGAGGATAAGACTCTTGCTTAGTTGACGCCTTTCTTTAATACATGACAAACAAAAAACACAGACAAACAAAAGAATGGAAAAATAAAATTTTAACAACATCTGTAACATAGATGGACCTGGAGAACATTATGCAAAGTGAAATAAGCCAGTCAGAGAGAAACAAATGCCTCATGTTCTCATTCATATGTGAAAATAAAATTAGTTGATCTCACAAAAGTCAAGAGAATAATGCTCATTGAAGGTGAGGAATGGTAACAACATGGTAGACTAGAGGTTAGATGATGAGAAGCAAAATACACTTAGATAGAATAATTTCTATTATTGTATAGCACAGTAGGTGATTATATTTTGTAATAATTTATTATATATTTAAAAATAACTAGAAGACAGAAATTTGGAGATTATCAACACAAATATATGAGTACTATTTGAGGAGATAGAAATGCTGGCTACTGTGATGTAGCCAATACACACTGTAGGCGTATATGTAATTATCACACTGTATCCTTTGAACATATACAATTTTTTATAAATTTAAAATAAGCAAGATCAGTAAGATATTGATATGTAGAATTTTTACAATCTTCTAAATTAAAAATGGCAGAAAATAAAACATACCCCCTAAAAGAGAGAATGTCAACAGCGAATTGAGAGAAATGAAAATAGTTGGTATGATATTAGTAATCTTGATAAAAAAATCACTCCCAGCTTAAAGAAGGTAAAATGTTTATCTAATTTACCATTACATAAATGGAGTTAAAATGCTTTATGTCCATTTGTGACAGAAAAAGAAGGTTGAATAAAACACACTGTTGGCAAGTATTTGTGATGAGAGGAACACCCGTGTAATATAGTACTTGGGGCAATACTTCTGAGTATAATGATTATATATCACCTATTACATGTGTCCAAATCCATAGAAGCTTTCTAGTAATTTATGAGGGATAAATGAAGAGAAAGGTGTGACACCTTATATAGCAACCAGTTGGAGTCAAAATAGATATCTATTTCCTTCTAGAACAGAAAATAAGACAAAATTTTAGGAAGCAGCAAAAAGAAATTACATACTAATAGACATACGGAAGCATGGATTGTTCTTTATAAAGGCATTAAATAATGCAAGAGAAAATATAGACTGTTTTTTACTTGATTGATTTTTTGAGACAGGGTCTCCCTATCTATGTAGTTCAGGCTAAACTTGATATCACTATGAAGCCCAAACTGGCCTCCGATGCATGGTAATTCCTCCTGCCTCAATCTCCTAAGTGCTCATATTACAGGTGTGCACCACTAAGCCCAGCTGTTTTGTTTGTTTATTTGTTTGTTTGTTTTTAGAGGATGTCTTAATAGATTGCCCTGGCTGGCTTTGAACCCAAGATGCTCCCATGTCACCTTCCTAAGTAGCTAGAATTTTAGACATTTGCCACTATGCTCTCTGTTCAAGAAGAAAAATTACATAGCATAAAGCTCTTCAGGAAAATTGAACAAAAATGAATGGTGTTATGTTTTACAAATATCCAACAGAATGAATTAGTGCTTATGAAGTTAAATGTCAGAAAAAAATCTGAGTGAGGATTTGAGAACAAAGTAAAAAGAAACTAAATATAGATCTATCAAGTTAAAATCAAGTATTTAGAAAAATTGTATAGCTTGTAATGAAACTTAGAATTAATTCTATGTACTTGACTTTTAAAATTTAAAAAAAATCCTCATGGAATTAACCATGAGAGAAACTATTTTATCCTCTGATGCAATACATGGTTCCTTCATTAATCCATTAATTTTTAATGACTAGAAACTGATGAACTTAATTGAAATGGGGTTACTTCAGTGATAAAGAATTAAAATAACACTTCTCCTCAACCTAAGGCCTTTTTACATTCATATCTTTCCTCTTGATTGTTATGTTATGTTTCCCAAAATTTGAAGTTGGCTCAAATCACTTTCTTGTGGTTAGGACACATACCCAATACCCACAACTTAAAAAAGAGCTTTATTTTACTCATGTTTTGAGTCCATAGACCACTGGTCCAAAGGTAGGACAGCGTGGCAGAGGGGCATCATGGAACAATGGCTGCTCTTGTCCTGATTTCCAGAAACCAGAGAGCCAAGAAATAAGCCTTGGAGGGAGATACACCCTTCCAGTTCATCCCTGCAGTAGCTCATCTCTTTTGAATAGAACCTACCTCCTAACAGCAAGTCAGCTATATCACGATGATTCAATTACCTTGCAAAAATGCTCCACCTATGAGCATATAAGGCTCTTGGTGAACATCTAGGTATAAACTATAACAAGGGGAGAAGCAGAAGTTATTACTGGTGACACAGCAAATCAAATAGAAATATTTTAATAGATTAAGACATTGAAGTTATTTGAAAAGAGGTGCCATAGTTTGGATCTGAAATATTCTTCAAAAATTCATATGTTGAAGACTCACTCCCAAATGGAGCACTAAGAAGAGATGATAGAAACTTTAGATGTGGAGCCCATGGTGAAATTTTAGGTAACTGGAAGTACATATTCTTTCTCTGTTTCACACCCATTCAGAAATTGAATGGGTCTCCTTCACTATGCACTTCCATTGTGATGTATTACACCATCACGGGCCCAAAGCAAAGGGGACAAGTCATGCACTAAGACCTCTAAAACCTCCAAAGTAAACCTTTCCTCTTTAGAAATTGAATTATATCAGGTATTTGATACAATAATGGAAAGCTATCATATATGGTGATCAACATTATCTGAAAGACCAGAAATTCATCATTTGTTTTTTTCTACACTGAAGATCCAGCTTTGTGAAAATTTCCCAGAATGGAGGCAGGGATGCAGAAGGATAGAGTTACAAGATGTGAGGTGAGCAAAGAAGGTCAGGTGGCAAAAAAATCCCATAATACTACTAGAGTACATATTGACTTAAAAAATAAAACCTCAGGGAGATAAAACAAAATTTTGGACTTTGTGTTTATCTACTAACTTTTTCTTTTTTATAACTGCTTATGCTAGCATTCATTTCTAGGCATAAAAATATTAACAAGTTAAATATTGAAATTGTGGTAACTCGGAAATGCTATCTGCAGAGTCACTGAAGGACAAGTCTTGAAAGAGAAGCAACTGGAAATAGAGGGAGCAGTTCAAGGCTTTTGTGGGTAGAATGGAATGTGAATTGTTTAACTTTTAGCTTAAGCTCTTTCAGTATATTTCTTGTGTTTCTAAAAGAGATAATATATTCCAAAGCGTTTTATACACTGTAAAATACTAAATGAATGGACAGAATTAGTTTATTGATATTCCAGCTATCCAGAAATAATTCCTCAGCTCCAAATACAGCATTATGCATTTAGTACAGTCATTTGGTGGGTGATATATCAAATTTTAAATTATAGTTGCACTTTCTATAAGAAAACACAAAAACAGTGACAAACTGGAGAATATTTCATAAAACATGTAGTCTGACTTAGTAGTATTTCATGAAATTCTACCTGGCTTATATGACAGATTTCTCTCAACAGAAAACACTTAAGGGGCCCAGGATTTAGCTCAGTGGTTCGGTCGCCTGCCTCACAAGCGCAAGGTGTTCGATCCCCAGTACCAAAAAAAAAAAAAAAAAGTAATATAAAAAGAAGATAGCAATAACCTTTTCTTAAAAAACATACTCT